TGAACCTGCCAATGTACACCCCATGGTACTGTCAGAACCAGGAATGCCTTGTTTCAAGATAATTTTTCTCCAGGATGACTTTGTCCTGACATGTATGTCTTAGGCATACATGGCAAATGAAGTCTGCAATTAATCCAGCACCGTAAAAATTAAATATTGCAGAGCAAGTAAAACCCATCCTCCTGTAGCCAGCTGAAAAACCAGATGTGCTGCTTTTGTTTGTACCCCTGAACTTCAGGAATGAACACAATTTATTGTCAGCAGCTGCTGCTGTTTTAAGTTCAGAGTGTTGAGCTTCATTTCCCCTGCACTGCAAACGTGTACGTTCTGCTGTCATGTATGGATCCTATCTTGAAATCATTATGCCGTAAAAATCTCTTGGCTTTGGTGAAAGTTATCGTGAGAGAGAAATGCAGATGAAAGTGGATGGAGATTTCTGGGTTTGTGGCATTTAGCACTTGCATCGATAGGTGTGGGATCACGTGAGGCTGGAATTTGACTCTCCAACCGTGGTATGTGTTACACACCCTTATATTTCAATGTATATCTATAGCTCTTCGTTGGTACAGTTGTTCTACAGACTGTGCTGTATTTTTAGTCCCTGCTCCTCCCAAAGCGATGTCTCTGCAGACACCACATATCCTCCGTGGTGGGGAAGTTTTGTGATGTTTGTTGTCGCTGCAGACAGGGAAGACACTTAGTTTTGTGCCTGCCTTTGAAATGTTTAAAATTCATTTGTCTTTTCGAATTCCAGCATGTAGACTTGGAAAACCGTTTCCCAGAGGGGTGCAAAGCCCTTGAAGGGGGAAAACAGTTTAAAGAGGTGAACCTTACACTAGTAAATCTGCTGTTTACTGTGCTTTTTTCTCCTGAGATTTCATCACAGCCTTCTACAGCTCTCTTCAGGCACGTTATATCAGCCGGGTGGGAACATTCTACTTAAACACCCGGAGCTGCAGCCTCCTCTGGCCCCAGGGCAGCTGGGCAGCTTTTCGGCTGCTCACAGGCACAGGGGTAGTAATAGGGAGAGCGAAGATCCTGGCTGAAATATAACATAAGTATCGTGTCAAATGCTGTTTGAAACAGGAACGGGCCCAAATCTCATCATCTGGGACTTTGTCAAACTACAGAGAGGTTTGGCTGGGGCAGGAGGGCAGAGCGTGGGGCAGGGCTGTGCACTCCTCGGGGCGTGGGAAGGTGTGTGGCTGTCCCTCTGGTTCAGGCCAGTGGTTTGTTTGTGGGTAATAAGAATTACACGAAAAAGCAACAGCAGTGAATATCTCCTCTCCCTTTATTTCGCCTTTATCAACATGCCATTTGTTCTACAGATTAGGATTTAATTTTTTAATTTTTTTTTCAGCTTAAAGACAAAAATAATTTAGAAAAAGATTTAGAGAGGGAATGTTGCCAAAACACACAGAAATATCCTATCGTGGCATCGCCTCTAGAGACCTTGGAAAGAGTTGAATGAAGAAGACAATTACTTTTTTTCCCCATCATTACAGCTAGATATTTTGGCTCTAAGTTGCATCATGGTGGAATGCTCCAATTACCAATAAAAAGTAATTTGAACTGTGTTAACAATGAAAACCGGCAATAGGGATGCTTTGCATTACTGTGGAGTGGCATCCCTGTAGCTGTCTGCATACTGCTGCTGTTGAAACCCAATAAATAAACTTTACATTTGCTTTTTCATAGTTTCCTTTGTATTTCGCATACTTAACCTATTGAAGGACTACTTATAAAGAATAGCTCAGGCTGTGTTTGGGGTATAAAATTTATATTAATAGAATTAGTAGCATCTTGGAATCCCCTTCTATTTAAGTTTTGTATCACTGGGAGACAAAACAGTTGAAAGATGCAGGAGAAAGCCCTGAGTGACCTACTGTGGTTATGGATTGCACCGTCCACACAGATTCACCTCAACCTCTTTGTGTCTCATTTAATCGTTCTCATTTATACATCCAGATAACTGCAACTCCAGATAGCTCTGTGTGTTCCTGCCTACACCGAAGGGCTTGTGCAATGTCCTACTGTCAAAAAGGGAACAGTAAATATGTGATAAAGGGCAATTGCAGTGTGTACTGATTCTTTGAGGTTGGTGTAATTTAAATTAGCCGTATAGCTGTGTGTATATATATACACACAGCCATATATACACATACGTATGTCATATATATGCACAGACGTGCAGGACATCTTGCATTTAATTGTTTGATGTGGGGGGGGGGGAAAAGGTGAATTCCGGCACCAGCTTAGAGGAAATGTGACAGCATAAGAATTAAAGTTTCTGAGCTATTTCACATACACAAATCCAAGACCCAAGTGCATTAAAATAGAACAAGTCAAAATATACAAGTGGCAAAACTAAGCTGTGGTTTTGGAATTGGCAGAACAACAAAGGGAACATGACAACTATCAAACATCTGAAGTCTCAAAGCAGTGGCACCTCAGTGGAGATGTTTTGGGTATGATGTTAATAAGCTTTACATTTGTCTTGCTCTATTTGCAGTTTGCAGCTGGGTTTGGAGCAGTCTTTTTCTTTGAAGATACATTGGTGATACAGGCTAAGTGAAGGGCTCCGGGCTCTGAAAATAGAAGTTTGGTGGTTTTTTTTAGTTTGGTCATTCATGGGAGTTGAGGGCTATCTTGAAATTATTTTTTGTTTGTTTTGTTTTCTCTTGGGTGTCCGAAGAATAGGAATGAAGCTGGAAAAGCATCTAGAGCACAAGTCTTATGTGGAGCTGCTGAGAGAACAGGAGTTGTTTAGTCTGGAGAAAAGGAGGCTGAGGGGTGATTATTGCTCTTTACAACTACCTGAAAGGAGGCTGTAGCAAGGTGGGGGTCAGTCTCTTCTCCCAAGTAACAGGTGATAGAACTAGGAAATGGCCTCAAGTTGCGTCAAGGGAGGTTCAGATTGGATATTGAGACAAATTTATTCACTAAAAGGATTGTCGAGCATAGGACCAGGCTGCCCAGGGATGGGGTTGAGTTGGAGTCCCTGGAGGGATTTAAGAGATGTGTAGATGTGGTGCTTAGGGGACATGGTTTACTGGTGGACTTGGTAGCATTAGGTTTACAGTTGGACTTGATGATCTTAAGGGTATTTTTCAACCTAAATGAGTCTATTTAAAAAGTTGGGGTTTTTTTCTCCTTAAAAAGAATTTGATTTCATGTGTGCCCTTAAAAATTTTAAAGATAAATATTTTTTTAAAAAAGATACATTGTCTCCAAACTAGAAATATTTTGTTTGAAAAACATTTGGGGTTTGGTTTGTGATTTTTTTTTTTTTCTTTCTTTGTTGTTGTTTGGGTTTTTTTAAACTTCTCTGCATTCCTCCCTGCCTGACAACTAAAGCTACTTGTGAGCTGGAGATATTCATGGAGGGAGAATTGCTTCAGTCGCTCACAGAATCACATCTTCAAATAAACAAACTATTCACATTGCTCATTGCTGAGCTGCAGAGGTCAAAGTGATACTGACTCCCTGCATGAACTTGGATAAATCATTATTTCCCTCTCCTTCCTCTGCAAAACCTGATTGTTAAATAGTTCCTTGCAGAACAGGTGTGAGAAACAATTAGCTAATGCTAGTAAAATGTTTTGAATACAAAATGTGATTCATAGGTGCTACCAGTGGCATCCATCAGTCATCCTTAACGGATGCTGTCGTTTACCAGCCTCTGATTTTTGGTTACGTCTTTCAGGAGCGGAAAGGAAACAGGACAGACTCAAAAAGTCTATCAGTATTTTTACTCCTGTCTTCTGATGTTTTAATAGCAATTTCCCCTTGATTTCGTCTGCTACTGATCACTTTAATAAATGGAGATATTTCCTGTTCTACAGGTCTAAAAATTGTGCCCCCCACTAGTCTGAGGACTAGTTTCTGCAGTTGAGGCAAAGGTAGCTCAACCTCACCCATCCCTATCAGATACGTTCCCATTTGATAGTAATATACACGTATAAATGTCTCTTGGTTTTGTTCTAGTCTGTTGCATCATTTCTAGAGCAGATTGCCTTCTTCTCTGGTCTCTCTAGGATCCCTGGGATAATCCTCCTTTTTCTTTGTTGTAGACTTGCTCCGCTATTGATGTGCTAGGACAAGTTCCAGTAGTAATAGGTGGAGGAGGCGTGTGTGAAATTGTGAAGAAAACCATTTTTCTGCATCAAACAAGTATTTTTACATGGTCTATTTCTTTTTCTCTATGTGATATATTTTAAATGTTGGAACATTATGGTCTGTGTATTTATCAAAGCATGCCCAGTATGGAGAAGAGGACCATGGTGGTTAAGAGCTGACATCTGAGCCTGGCTCTGACACTCCTGGGGAGCCTGAGCATCTGCAGCTGCTCCCCCTGGCACACAGGGCTTGTTCCTGCCCCAGCTTCCCACCTGCAGCAATGCTGCAGTGCACCCCGTGGGAAACACTTGTCCAAGTTTTATTATGTAGAAATTAAAAAAAAAAAAAATCAATAAGGGTTTGGTCGTATGGTGCTTTCTGCAGAGGAATGGGGCAGTTCCTGGGATACCAGCCTGTGCTCGTTAACACAAGGAGTGAAGGAAAGCATTGAAGGACCTGCTCTTGCTCCAGTGAAACCTGCGTTGGTTTTGCCATTGATTTTTAACAGTGTCAGGGTGAAGTCTGTGGCTAATCATTGCTCACAAACCTGTGTGAAACCTCCCTCCTCCATCTGAGTTGGGGTTTGGACTCTGGCTCAGTGATGAAGGGGGTGCAGGTGGTGGTTGTTTGCACTGACTTGGGCAGCTCAGAGGCCTCTCTCAGCTCTTTCTTTTATGAACCCTGAAGTGGAGATGTTTTTGCAGTAATTGATTGTAATTGATTTATGGCTCAGCTCTTTCTTTTATGAACCCTGAAGTGGAGATGTTTTTGCAGTATGTTGGATTGTAATTGATTTATGTTTTTTATGTAAGAAATGCTTGTTATGCATGGGATGTGACTATTTTTAGTAAGATGAGTATAATTTTTCTCCCCATTTATAGGATGGCTATTTTTCCCACCGACCGAAAGAGAAAACGCGAACAGACAGCAATAATGAAAATTCAGTTCCCAAGGACTTTGAAAATATTGATAACAGTAACTTTGCTCCCAGGACTCAGAGGCAAAAACACCAGTCTGAGCTGGTGAAAAAACCCCTTAGCAAGCAAAAGGAGCACTTGAGAAAGAAACTGGAAGAGGAGAAGATGAAGGAGAACTTGCTGCTGGCAAAGAACTCCAATGAGGTGGTGCAATTCAGTGATCACCCCGGAAAAAACAGCAGCAGCAACAACAACAATTTGAAGGAGATTCACGTGTCTCCTAGGCAGCATCATTTAAAAAAAAGTGGAAACAGCTCCCCTGAACTGAAATACGATCAGCCACCAAAGTGTGAAGTAACAGGCAAAGAGGCAATCTCAGCCATGTCCCGGGCTAAATCTAAGCAGTGTCGGCAGGAGATCGCCGAGGTGTATTGTCAGCACAAGCATGGAAAGCTGATGCCCGAGAAGGTGACGCGTTTCTGTACGCTGGAGGGTAAGTTGGTAGATGGCGATGGAGAAATAACATGGTGTCTCGGGGAAAGGATTCTGTATAATTGAAATGGCCTTCTGATGACAAATAATGGCTTTATTGCAGGAGAGTATCATGTACTTCATGAAGGTGAGGGAGGGTTTCAGAGAATTTTAAACAGGGAGTTATATGGATGTCACAAGATCACTGGTAGCTTCCTATAGAATATTTTGTAGTTCTACCAGATTTTTATTACACTACATGATCTAGGTATTCAGCTGCTACTTGTTTCTTATAGTTCTTAATCTAAGACACAGAGAAGAGTAGCTGAAGTCTTGTTATTCTATACAGGAATTGCATGCTTTTTGGGCATCAGGGAATAGCCATGCTGAATTTTGGTGCCTTATGCTGATTGATAAATGAGTGGTATTGCTGTTACGGCTGCATGGACAATTTCTGGCACAGTGGAGTCCTAAATAATAACCAGGACTGCTAAGTATTATTGGTAAACCGGATAATTATCAAAAGTATAATTAAAAAAACTTCCAAAGGCATGGGAAAAAAAATCCGATTTTGCAGCTCACTCCTGTTTTTAATGTTCTTCAGTCAGAAAAAGTGATTTTCAAAATCAGTGTTGTAGAGAGTCGGTTAACTCTGCTAGCTTAAGCCAGGCTTTGATTTGTTGCTTTTGGTTTCCCCATGTGGTCAGATACATGAGGTATCTCTCAGCTTGCTGTTGGTTTGCATGTGTGAGCTGACCTTTTCCTATTTTTCAAGACAAGTGCTTCATGTGCTGCCGTTGGTTTAGCCGTAAGCTTCCCATACAGTAAAGTGGGGTTTTTTCGTGTTGGTTTTTTTTTTTAAAGCAGCGATCAGTGGATCGGAGTAGGTATTGATCAAGGAACAGCATTATCTGCAGCCGCACTTGTTTATAGAGCAATCCGAAGTCCCCATCCTGTAATTGACACTTCAGCCCATGCATGTAAGGATATGCTGATGTCGTTGAGCTGAAAGTGCAGAGGGACTTTGACAATCAAGAGAATAGGTCTTGCTTTGAGATGGTACAGTAAACACGGTGAGCCATGGGGATTAGGGGATGTTGAGTTTCTTTCATTAGGAATATTTAATAACATCCTCTAATCCCCATGGTTTACCTGTTTATTGCACCATTGCAAAGCAGTGGTTGCTCTTGGGTGGTTTTGGTGTGGGGAAAAAGGAGGATCCATATTGCTATTGCCTAAATTAGGAGGCTAAACTCTCTGTACAGAAAATGGAAAAAAGGAGGTGCCCCAGAGAACATTTTCAAACAAGAGCATCTCTCTGTAATAGAAAACTTAGGCTTTTAATTGAGGTGACACACATAACCAAGATGAACAATGTGAGCACCCCATTTCCCACCCAGTGCATTTGTGATTGTTTTGTTTTGTTTTTTGCCATGTCTCTTTTGGTGTTTATTTCTTCCTTTCTTATCTTGTGGTAATACTCAAAATCATTAAGTTGGGTGGGCAAACATTGGAGATAAAGAATTAATGGAGCAGGCAGAATACTTGGTGTTCAGTGGGAAGCAGGGAGAGGGACAGCAAGGCAGCAGAAGTTGAAGGGAAGGTAAAAGAACAGCAGAGAGGTAAGAATTGAGCAAAACTAGACATCAGTGACAGACATCAGTGAGCACCCCTGGGTGCCCCTGATGGAATCTACTGGCATAAGCATGTCCTTGGTACCCTTCCCTCTTCTCTAATGATAGGAGAGTCAGCTCTGGTCTGTGAGGTCAGCACCTTGCAGACACTGTCCTCCACTTTTTGGATCAAGGACATATCTTAGTAAATGCTATATACCTTGTGTAAATGCATCACATCTACAAATATGCGAGTGATATCCTGGAGAGAGCTGGAAGATGTACTGTCGTTAGTGTGGGTGCACACTGCTGCTGTGTGGAATTTTGCACACACCTCTGATTCCATCCCCTGCCTGGTGATCTGCCTCCCAGGGGTGCAGGGTGACTTTCCAGAAGTTTTAAACAACTGCCGTTCTTAAAAACAGGCTTCTCAAGAAATATTTATTGCTCCTTTTTTAAATACAGAATTTATCTCATGTGCCCTGCAGTCAGGATAATACCATGGTGTGGGAACCAAGAATGGTGTCACCTTTTGCATTTGAAACTTTTCAGCATGTGTGTACATTACATATTGGTATAAATGCTTCCTTTATAATAAGACATGGTAAAACATTCAGGAAAATTGGGAGCTACAAAGATGGCTAGAGAAATGCAGAAGTTGTCAAAATATGGTTTTTATTGTCAAATGCGTGTGGATTTAGTAACAACTCCTGAGGTATGGATGTATACCGCATTAAAAACTTAAGTGTGAAAACCTGTGGCTACAGTTTTTAGGTTTGCAGTGCTAGAGTTTCATTTAGATTTTTATTGCGTGCAGTAACGCTTGTTTGAAAAGAATAATTGAGGGATGTCTTAACTTAGCCAGGTGGATCCTTTCGGAAAAGGTTGATTTTCTTTGCCTCAAGGTTATTTCCTCCTGCCCATGCTGACAGCTGAAGTTAACGGTTTCAACAGCCAGATTTCCTTGGCAGAGAATCTGGACATCCTGTGTTACAGGGTTGCTCTAGAGCAGATCTGGGGGCTTTGCTGTGGGGAAGTGGTAAAGCAGCAGCATGCTGGATGGGACACGAGCTGCTTATGCAGAAGGTGCCAATGCACAAGCAGGTTGGGACATCAGAGATCCAGACTTTGAAGTCACTTCTCAAATGTCTGAACACAGGACTATCAAGACAGACATGTGGGAACCCCAAAACTGAAGGTGCCCAGTGCCTACTGGAAGGCCTTGTATTCATATAACTTGGTAGGTCCCTTAAATTTTACAGTCCTGTTAAAGATCCGTTGCCTGAGTTTAAGAGTGTTGTGGTCTCGGATCTCTCTTCCTCACTATCTAACATAAATACTGCTGTTGTTCACTTACAGACTGGCTCCATCCCTCATCAAATGTGTCGTCTTCAACTCCAGAGGAGTTGAACTTGGTTAGGAGATGTTTGTGAAGGACTGGACATCAGCTTTTGTGGATATAGGACTCCCCATTCTTAAGACCGCTCATGGGGGGAGGTCTGGGTAGAGTTCTTGACACTTTATGCATCAAAAAAGCTATACGCTGTTTGTCAGCAAAAGTCAGACATCCGGGGACTGAGTTTATGTATTCAGCATGTGAGTGCTATTCCTTTCAGTTTGGCTTAAAAAAAGGTTTCCTGTCTGTTTTCAGTGGAGCTGTGAAGTATAAATATTTATGCATTGGAGCAGCACATTCATCCATTATCCCAACATATAAATGTGTTCCCAGTGCTGTGGTTTCCATTGAGATGTCATCCAGCATTTAATCCCCTTGGATCCTCTCTCAGCTGATCAAAACCACGAAGTTGCTAAGTGTAGCTATCAATCATGGACATGACTCCATCCAGCTGGATTGTTGTAAATGTTAAGTGATACGTTCACTTGAGTGGTTATTAACAGGAACAGGATCTTACAAGCTGTTTCTTTTTTCTTTTAAGTATTTTATTGTTTCCAAAGGCAACAGGCAAAGGAAGTTGAATATAACTGTCTTCAGTGTATAAAAGAAAGGATTGTTAAAACCAAGAGCATCATGTTTACTACCCGTTTGACATGCAGGTATTATTTCCACGAGAACAAGAGGACACGGGCTGCAGTCTCTCTAAGGACGTTGCAGAGAGGCAACATTGCTGAATTGGCAAAACAGGTCATGGTAACTTTACCAGTTACCTGACTTATGGAGTGTGTGAGCTGGCATTTCCCAACAAGCCAGTCCTGAAAACAGGGCACAAATGCTCTGCAATAGGCGTTTGTTGTCAAAGGCTGTAGGTGCAGCCTTATCCAAAGTCATGGCTGAGATCAAGCCATCAAGCAATCACTCTTCGCTCAGAAGTGAATGGAATGTTTGGAGTTTGTAGAAGTGTGTTTTGAGAGGAAATGCAGCCAGTGAAGGTAAGAGGGTAAAAGTAGGTTCAGCACAGTGTTAGATTAGGAAAGGGCAAATCCAGTCCTTTGCAGGTTGGGGAGAAGGTACAGGGAGACATTCTTTTGGAGAGTTCATTTCTTCTCCGGAGACATGATAAGGAGATCAGCAACCTGTGGACAATATGGCAATTTTTTTCCTTGCTGGGGCCATTTCCAGCCTGGTCCTATACAGGCCAGACTAGAGCCACTTATTCCACTGGTGTGCCAGATCCGCTTCTGCTCACCAAAGATTGGTGGACCTGGACTAGCTGCCTCCCTTGTCCAATATCATACATGGCCCTCCTCCTATGCAGAAGTACTGGGAAGAAGCAGAAGTTTCAATGCAAATTCTTGGCTCTAAAATAAGCTTCACTCTGTATCTAGATAAGCTTCTCCTTAAGTGGTCACTCCAATAAGTGACCTGATTTGGGCCATGTTTCCACCACCACAATCTCTTATAACCCGGGGCAGGAGTACAGTTTAGAATGGCCACTGTGACCCTGACTGCTGAGATTGCTGCCCAGATGATTGGGCGGCAGTGCAATAACAATTCCACAACTCCGTTTCAACATCCATATTAAATATGTGACTTCTACTTGCAGCCTTCCTCCTGCAATGAAAAAAGCCCAGCTTCTGACCCACTGGCTGGATTCAGTCCTTGACTTCCCTGGTTGTCACTCTCACGTAGATCGTGGTACTTTGTAGCCCTGAACCCCTTCCCATGCAAGTTTGCTGGATATACAACACGGTTGCTCCTTAGTCATTAGCACCAGGTCCGTGAGTCACCGCAGGCACGGTGCCAACTGGTATCTGCATCAGTCCTCCTCTGGGCCGGCTTTTCTAGGCCTCCATATCCCCAGGGGAGACTCTGGCCTAATCCTTATCGTTAATTACCCAACTGGTTTTATGCTTGACCCAGATCTATGGCCCTGGATAGACCAAAAGTATGTAACGGATTTTTTTGAGGGGTGTTTTCTAAGATGTAGTTCTGGCAAAAAAAAAGTCCATA